ACCATGCCCGGCCTCTAGGTGTTTCTTTATGGGGAAAATCAACATAGCTCCTGGAAAATGCTTTCTTCTTTTTTTATTTTATTTTATTTTATTTTTTAGTTTATTTATTTATTTATTTTTTTGAGATGGAGTTCATCTCTGTCACCCAGGCTAGAGCACAGTGGCACAATCTCGGCTCACTGCAACCTCTGCCTCCTAGATTCAAGCCATTCTCCTGTCTCAGCCTCCCGAGTAGCTGGGATTACAGGCATGTGCCACCATGCCTGGGTAATTTTTGTATTTTTAGTAGAGATGGGGTTTTACCACATTGGCCAGGCTGGTCTCGAACTCCTGACCTCAGGTGATCTGCCTGCCTTGGCCTCCCAAAGTGCTGCGATTACAGGCATGAGCCACTGCGCCCGGCCAAATGTTTTGTTCTTTATCCCAATAACCAGAGAATTCCAAAGTCATTTGCTTTTACCTGGTAGGGACAGCAGTGCACCTTTACAATCTTGCCTCAGAGTTGTGGCAACACAGTATCTAATGGTCAAGGTCAGGGATATACACCATGGCAGCTGGTGCTCAGATGAGGTGGAGACAGCGGTGCCTTCCCCCAGACATTTCTGCAATGTGATTTTGAGCACTGGTCTTGGCTGTATAGCCTCTGAGCTAGCTCTCCAACATCTCTACCCCCCATCCGCTTTCTGTGCCCACCGATTTTTCATAAATTTATTTTCTGTTTAACTCAGGCAGAAGTGTGTCTTTTGTTTACAATTAATAACACTGACTGATGCATATCCTTCTAGGAGTCCCTAGAGGGCAGCAAACAGCATCTGCAGCTTGAAGCGAGAGCAGGGAGGCAGAAGCAGTGCTGGATCACGCTGGACTCTGGCTCAAAGACTCTGCACAGGTAAAGAGGGCATTTGTGTTTTCCTGACCTGTGGCTCTCAGGAAGAGTGTGTCTTAGACCTGGACTAAGGAGGAAGACTCAGACTAAGGAAGTTCAATTCCAGTAGGAGGCCCTTGCTTTGTAAATTTTTTTTTTTTTTTTTTTTTTTTTTTTTTTTTGAGACAGAGTCTCGCTCTGTCACCCAGGCTGGAGTGCAGTGACCGAATCTCAGCTCACTGCAAGCTCCGCCTCCCGGGTTCCCGCCATTCTCCTGCCTCAGCCTCCCGAGTAGCTGGGATTACAGGCATGCGCCACCATGCCTGGCTAGTTTTTGTATTTTTTTAGTAGAGACGGGGTTTCACCGTGTTAGCCAGGATGGTCTCGATCTCCTGACCTCGTGATCTGCCCGTCTCGGCCTCCCAAAGTGCTGGGATTACATTTCTAAAGCAGAAGGGATGAATTATGAGGCACTTGTGGTGTCTCTTTCCCGGTAGCATCTACTTCTTTATTCACTGCTTTTACCTCTTGTCAAAAGTATTCTAGCTGCCTTTGGGCCTCAGCCTTTGTCTTGTGCTGAGAGTCTTGTTTATCTTAGACATTACTTGCGTGCCACCACAACTAGGTTCCTTGCTGCCTACCCTCTATTCTTCTCCCTAATAGCATCAGATTTTCTTTTTCTTTCTTTCTTTCTTTTTTTTATTTTTGAGACAGAGTCTCGCTCTGTGTGCAGTGGCATGATCTCAGCTCACTGCCATCTCTGTCTCCCAGGTTCAAGCAATTCTCCTGCCTCAGCCTCCCAAGGAGCTGGGATTACAGGCATGCACCACCACGCCTGGCTCATTTTTGTATTTTTTTAGTAGAGACAGGGTTTCTCCATATTGGTCACGCTGGTCTTGAACTCCCAACCTCAGGTGATCCGCCCACTTTGACCTCCCAAAGAGCTGGGATTACAGATGTGAGCCACCGCGCCTAGTCCAGATTTTTCTTTTCTCTTTCTTTCTTTATTTTTTTGACAGAGTTTTCCTCTCCCAAGTTGCTGGGATTACAAGCATGCCCCACCATGCCTGGTAATTTTATATTTTTTTTAGTAGAGATGGGGTTTCTCCGTGTTGGTCAGGCTGGTCTCAAACTCCCGACTTCAGGTGATCCGCCCACCTTGGCCTCCCAAAGTGCTGGGATTACAGGCGTGAGCCACCATGCCCGGCCCAGATTTTCTAATAGGGAATTATTCCTTGCTACTGTGTGTCGAATCCTGGGGAGAGAAGTTGAGGTCATTAACAGTCCCAGGGTTTGGGGCTGACCTAGAGGAAAATGACCACGAGATGGCAGTAGCATGCAATGAGCTTTACTGGGGCGGCTCTCAGACAGGGTTACCTGTGAGAGGAAGTCCCCCATAGCGGGCGTCCTTCTAAGGACAGTGATGCGGGGCCAGCATCCAGAAAGAGGAGAAGACAAGAGAGCTTCTGGGGAGAGGGGTATCAGAGAGGCTGTTTACATGTCTAGATGAGGAGGGATGTCTCTGGGTCAAAGAACTGCCAAGGGCAGCCCTGGCTTGGGCTCTGTTATAGCCCCAGGGTTTGTCCTCTCTATGGCCAGCAGATGTGGGGTGCAGTCTGGCAGGGTATATAAAGCAGGCAGGCTCTAAGTGGCTAGAAATACATTTATTTGGGCTATTTAATTAAAAGCAACTGGATGTGTAAAAAACTGAGTTTAGCTCTTGGGGGTTTTTGAGCTAGCAGTCGTGTCATGAAGAAGTAAACAACGTAGGGCTCAAGGTTCAGCTCATTTATTTAACAGGGTGAATAACAGTGCCTGCCTCCCCCACTCTCTCCCACTACAGAAGTTGAGGGAGCAGATCCTTCCTCAGTCTTCCCTGCTCGTATAGCCAAGGGCAAACATGGGGCCTAAGCTCAGCCAGTTCGAGAATTGTCTCCAGGTCTTTAAAATTTTATTTATTTATGTATTTATTTTTGAGACAGGGTCTTGCTCCGTTACCCATGCTGGAGCGCAGTGGTGCAATCGTGGCTCACTGCAGCCTTGATCTCCTAGGTTCAAGTGGTCCTCCTGCCTCAGCCTTTTGAGTAGCTGGGATCACAGGTATGTACCACCAGGCCCAGCTAATGTTTACATTTTCTGTACAGATGGGGTCTTGCTATGTTGCCCAGGCTGGTCTCAAACTCCTGGCTTCAAAAGATCCTCCCTCCTTGCCCTTCCAAAGTGTTAAGATTACAGGTGTGAGCCCACCCCATACCTCTCACTTTTTTTTCGTGAGACAGCATGTTACTCTGTCTCCCAGGCTGGAGGGCAGTGGTTCAATCTCAGCTCACTGCAACCTCTGCCTCCTGGGCTCACGTGATACTCCCACCTCAGCCTCCCAAGTAGTTGGCACTACCGGCTTTTTTTTTTTTTTTTTAGTAGAGATGAATTTTTACTGTGTTGCCTAGACTAGCATCAAACTCCTGGGTTCAGCCAATCAGCCCACCACCTCCCAAAGCATCTAGATTTTCTTTTTCCTTTTCTTTTCTTTCTTTCTTTCTTTTTTTTTTTCTTTTTCTTTTTTTTTTTTTTTGAGATAAAGTCTCGCTCTGTTACCCAGGCTGGAATGCAGTGGTGCGATCTGGGCTCACTGCAACCTCTCCCTCCCAGATTCAAGCGATTCTCCCACCTTAGCCTCCCAAGTAGCTGGGACTACAAGTGTGTACCACCACACCTAGCTAATGATTTTTTGTATTTTAGTAGAGATGGGGTTTCACCATGTTGCCCAGGCTGGCCTCGAGCTCCTGAGCTCAGGCAATCTGCCCACCTTGGCCTCCCAAAGTGCTAGGATTACAGATGTGAGCCACTGCGCCTGGCCTAGATTTTCTAACTGGGAATTATTAAATAGGCTGGGTTTCAGCCACTGCATCCAGCCCTCCCCAGGCCTTTGCATATGTGTGTATGACTTCAGTATTCGGAGATTTGGAGGTGAGAATCATTAGCCAGTCTGGCCCTATCGAGAGACTCTGCTGTGCCGCTTCTCGATTCTATTTATTTATTTATTTATTTATTTATTTATTTATTTATTTATTTATTTTAAGACAGAGTCTAACTCTGTCATCCAGGCTGGAATGCAGTGGCACGATCTCAGCTCACTGCAACCCCCACCTCCTGGGTTCAAGCGATTCTCCTGCCTCAGCCTCCTGAGTAGCTGGGATTACAGGAGCGCGCCACCACAAGCAGCTAATTTTTGCATTTTTTAGTACAGACGGAGTTTCACCAAGTTGGCCAGGCTGGTCTCAAATCCTGACCTCAGGTGACCCGCCCGCCTCGGCCTCCCAAAGTGCTGGGATTACAGGCATGAGCTACTGAGCCCACCACTTCTCGCTTCTTGATCCTTTCGAGCAGGCTTTGTCAACCAGGTCCCTCCTCTGAACCACAGAACACAGGAATGATTTTCCCAATTCTCCAAAGAGCCTTTGCCCTTTCCCTTCCTTCCTGCTGGAATTCCAACTCTAGGCCTGGGCCCTGGGGACGGCACGGCTGCGCTGAGGACTGTGCGGCAGGCAGCTAATCGGAGGCTGGGCCTTCCTCACCTCTCAACCAGTGGTTTGTGCCCTGGACTCTAGATCTTTACATTTCTTGTCACATGGGCGAAATAAATCTCTCCTTTGTGTAGCTGTGAGGTTGAACAAATAGGACTCGCAGTCTGCCTTTATTTTTATCTCCTAATCTCCATTCAAATCTGTTTTGTGGGGATGGCCCATCACCGTTCTTTTGAATGGAACATAGGGCAGGTCCATGGCTTTTTGGGACACTCTCCTTTGGTAAAAAGTTTTTGGGTCACTTCAAGTTATAAAAGTTTCATTTCAGCCAGGCGCAGTGGCTCACGCCTGTAATCCCAGCACTTTGGGAGGCCAAGGTGGGTGGACCGCCTGAGGTCAGGAGTTTGAGACCAGCCTGGCCAACATGTTGAAACCCCATCTCTACTAAAAATACAAAGTTAGCCAGGCATGGTGGTGAGTGCCTGTCATCCCAGCTACTCAGGAGGCTGAGGCAGGAGAATCGCTTGAACCTGGGAGGCAGAGGTTGCAATGAGCCGAGATCGCACCACTGTACTCTGGCCTGGGTGACAGAGTGAGACCCTGTCTCAAAAAAAAAAAAAAAGTTTCATTTCAATAATTGCAATTTAAAAAATAAGTGTGGTCCCTTTCATGGAGCTGGAGGGCAGAGCAGTGGTTGCCAGGGGCTGGGGGAGGTGGGCGGGGACTTCTTGTTTAGTGTGTGGGGTTCCGTCTGGGATGGCGAACAGCTTCTGCAGGTGGCTGCACAACAGCGTGAGCATATTTGGAGCCACTGAAATGATTCATATACATGTAAATTGGTTAAAATGGTAAATTTTGTGTTGTGTATTTTGTATCACAATGAAAAAATGCAAAAAAAAAGGTGTAAGCCAAAAAACTCCAAAACACCCCACAGCCCCTCCCCCAAATGTAAAAGTCCATTTAAAGTTAAAAACTTCTCCCTTGCACCTTCTCGGTCTGTTTTGGGCAAGCAGCATGCAACAGGAAAAGTGTGTGTGTGTGTGTGTGTGTGTGTGTGTGTGTGTGTGTGTGTAAGAAAGGGTACGGTGAGGACAGGGAGACTCAAATTAACTTCTCAATGTACCCCCAACCCGCACCTGCTCCTATGCCCTGGGATTCTCCTCCTCACTCACGTGGCTGCCTTTGTACCCCCAGGGTTGACATGGCCGGGGAAGAGGAAGAAAGGGGCAGGAAAGATCTGATTTTGTATTGTACGAGCTGGTACGGAAGCTTCTTGGACTTTGTACATAGCTGACTCTTTATCTATTGGGGGACTTCTTTAAGTCATTCCAAGACCTCCAGCCGACCCCATTATTGGGGTCTCACCTCCAGTTCCCTGGGTATAACTGAACTCCTCTTGGCTCATATGCAGCTCAGGCCTGTTTCTTGCTGCTGGGGCCACATCTTTCTCTCCAGGTGGCGCTCCTGGGCAGGTTTTAGTCTTTGTGTTTTGTTTTGTTTTGTTTTGTTTTGTTTTTTAATAGCTCTTGCTCAAGGTTGGGCAGGTTTTAATGTGGCCTGATGCTGGTTCTCCCTCCCGCATAGCTCACATCTGGCCCATAGGAAACAATCACATATCCTTTTCCTGCAATATAGATTTCAGGGGTACCAGTTTCCAATGCAGCCAACTCTCTTCAAGGTATGATCAAAACCACTATCAGCCAGCACATCTGTCATGCACCAAATTAAACATTTTTTTGTGTGATCGCTTCAGCAGCACATATACTAAATTTTTTTTTTTTTTGTAGAGATGGGGTCTTGTCATGTTCACTAGGCTGGTTTTGAACTCCTAGGCTTGAGCAATCTTCCCACTTCGGCCTC